GTCCTTAACATATTAGGGGGATCAGGAAAGTGCAGGGAATAACTGAAGGCAAATAGGGGTGCAAGGCTGAGCAAGGCCTTGAGAAAGTAGAACAAAGACATTCCAAGCGATAGATCCTTAATGAGAAAACTTTAATCCCTATGGTTGGCAGTGATGTTTTCTGAGTGAGAATTACTGCCTTTACCTGCAATGTTATCTTTCCTTCAGTGGTGTCATAGACCACTATGGGTGTCTACTGTGACGACTGCCATGGAGAGTTCTATTTTCTGCACACCAGCTGCTGGCTTTTTGGGAAGTCATGCAGGCCTGGGACAGACTCATTAAGTTAACTTAGAAAGAAAATTGATGAATTCTAAAGCCTGTTCAACACTGCTTCAAAGCAGTCTCTGTCAGGGGAAGAGGAAAGAAAGAATTGAGATATATTATATACATGTGCTGATTCCCCATAATGAATGTAATTATTATGTACTGCAAATGTACTAAGAAAATTAAATAAAGAAATAACCAGGTGAGATTATCATACATGAATATTCATACCCAAGGTAATCTGGGAGAGAAAAAGAAATGGAATGAATAAAAATGAAAACCATTTGGATTTCTGTCTACAGTTCCAATTTTATTCATGCAAACAATTTTTAAAGGCTTACACATGTCTGGAAAGTTGATTTCTCCTTCAATCGGGATCAAAAATGGCAGTTTTCTTGTTAAGAGCCACTCTGTGATAAGCTTGTGGCAATAAGGGTGAAAGTGCCAGAAATAGCCACAGGAAGCTGATGATTTTGAAATACCTAGTGTGGTTCTGAACCTAGGAGGAGAATTTACTTGTTTTTGGAATTATTGCATCATTTCATGAAACCAGAAAGATCACTTGTTATACTTCACAACTTTACTCCTTTTTCTATCTGGTCCAAAATCACTGAGAATTGTGTTTTAAATTAGAGACAGCCAGTCAACTATATCACAAGAGTCTGTAATAAGTAACAAAAGTGGTTCTTGTCCCCCAAATTGAGGTGGTGGAGCCACTATCTTCTTTCTTAGGTTAAACATTCAGTGAAAAAAAAATTCAATATATAGCCATTGTTGGCCTGCAAACTTTTACTATGAAAGATCTGGCTGAACACGTTGCTGCCATTAAAAATGCAATGCCACCTAACACTTTGTGATTATTTTTTAAAGTTTATCTTAATTGATGAAAACAGATAAGATTATTTACTGGGTCTTAAGAATAGGTTGGTAGGTTTAAAAATAATTTTTAGGGGTTCATTCACCAATATACTTATCTCATTCTCTTTCTGCCCAGCTTCACACGAAGAGATGTCCCTCTAGTCTCAGAGAAGTTCCCTATCTGTACCTTGAACATAAACATCAAAACTAAGTTTTGGGGAAAGGTTGATCAATCAATACTAAGTTACAGTTAGGTAAGACCAAAAAGCCCTGGTATGCAGTTGCATAGAAGGGTGATTATAGATATTGATTCTGTATTGTGCACCTTCAAAAGCTAGAAGAAAGGATTCTGAATGCTTTTTACATAAATGGCAATAAGGATTGGAGTTGGTAGGTATGTGTAACTTGGTTACATGATGTACATGTGTATTAAAACATCACATGGCATCCCATTAATGCATATAATTTGTTTTTATTTATGTTAAAAATTAAATAAAAAATCATTCTTTTGTAGACAGAAAAACAAACGATAAACTTACCATCTGCCTCATCTCTTTCAATGTTTCGAGCTTTCTACTTTGCTGACTGCTACTATCATTCATACAAGTTTCTAAGCAAGCATCTAAAAGAATCAGTGGAAGTCCCTCCTTTCCATTTCTGTACTCTGGCCCACCAAATCATCAGTGTCCTGTCCATTTTTACTAATTTAGTATTTTCCCAGCTTCTCTATTTGGGTTGGTTCATTTTCCATTTTTATGACGATTAACTAACTTTGTAAAGAAAATAAATTTATGTATTCTAGGAGTTCAAGGGCATCTTCTTAAGGACTTAACATTCTGCAAATGTGATTGACTCTGATGAGAACCTCATGGCAGATGGTATCACAGTGGTGTGTGTGTGTGTGTGTGTGTGTGTGTGTGTGTGTCAAAAGAAGATATAGCAAGACAGGAAGCCAGCGTGGCTAGAAAAGGCCCAGGCTGCTCTTCTGTGGCTCTCTTGAGAACTAACCAAGGTCCCTAAAAAACTGTATTGTTCTTATTAATGACCTCAGTTGCTTTCTAAATGTGAAAGTCAATCATAAAAAATTGTTTACCTTTCACCTTTGAAATCCTTATGAATTTTGATTTTGTGACATCATACACCCAGGCTGTGTCATCTCTGAACACTAATCAGCTAATCTATCATGACTTTGCTTAAATCTGGCCTTCCAATAGGTCCTTGTTAATTCTCTAGTTCCTTACTCTCCCTAGGTAATTTCATCTAATTCGTCATCTTTCACAATTAATTATATACCCATTGTACTCAAATTTGGCTTCCGGAATTTTATTTACAATGTGTAATAACTACTGTAACTCACAATACCCTCAAACTTTACATGTTAAAATTGAATGAATTTATTTTTCCTCAAACCATGACTCCTTTTATATTTCCTTTCCCAGTGAATGAGCAGAAGAGTCGGGGTACTGACTTTACTCTTTTCCCAGGCTTCTATACTAGATTACATAGTAGATAAATTTCAAGGGAAATTTATTTCCTCTACATATTACAAGTGAGCTTTTGTATTAGCTATCAATGAAATCAAATTACATAAGTTTAGCAGATGTAGAGTTTCTGTAGAGTTCAGGCACGGCTCAGTTGAATGCTCTGCTCAGGATTCCACAGGCTGCAGTGAAGATGGTGGCTGAGGGGAGGCTCCTATCTGAGGCTTGAAGTCATCTTTAAGATCACGTGGTTGCTGGCAAAATACATTCCTTGGAGCTGTAGAACTTACGGTAACATGACTTTTTCTTTTCTCAAATTTTATTTTATAGAAAAAATAAAACAAAATTTTAGAACAATAGGAGAGTAACAATGGTTAATACATTACAAAGATTATGTATTATTATCTTTGAATTAGTTACTCAGAGTACAAGATATAGGCATTTAATTTTTCAAACAATATTAGCACAAACTTTTCAATGAATTAAGAAAAATTAATGTTATAATATCTTAACTATCATATATATATACACACACGTATTTTTTTCTTTCTCCATCCTTCTTTTCTCCTTTTCCTCATGCCAGTTTCTCTTTTCTTTTAAGCAGTTTCTTCTCATTTTACAATATCTATTGTACATCTTGGATCTTATTTACCCTTTCAGCCTGTCATACTAGGGAGACAATATGATGTGTATACATGTGAGTCTGGTTTATTTCACTTATAAGTATGAGCTCGAGTTGCATTCATTTACCTATAAAAGTTTATCCTTCTTTATGGCTGAATAAGACCCCATTGCATAAAAAGACAACATTTAAAAAAATACTTTCCTTGGTTGATACATACTTGAATTGTTTCCAAGATCTAACTATTACAAATTATGAGTCTGTAAACATGGGTGCACATGTATCTCTGTGGTATCATGTTTTTATTTTTTTCTGAGAAGATACCCAGAAGAATAGCTGAGTCAAATGGGACTTCCAATCTTAGTTTTTTGAGGAATCTCCACATTGATTTCCACAGTGGTTGCACCAGTCTGCACTTCTACCAAAGTGCAGAAGGATTCTTTTTCCCCTCAGCCCTGCTAGCATCTGTTATTGGTTGATTTCTTCATAATAGCCTTTCTTGAGTGAGTGAGATGGAATCTCAGTGTTCTTTTAATTTGCATTTCTTGAATGACCAGCGACGTTGAACATTTTTCATAAATTTATTTGCTGTTTGTATTTATTCATCTGAAAAGTACGTATTCCTTTCAGGAAGGATTGGATTGGAAGGATTGGATTCTCATTTTAGGATTGGATCTTTAAATTTGGAAGGTCTGATTTTTTTGAGTTCTTTATGTTCTTGATAGTAATTCTTTGTCTGAGGAACAACTGGCAAACATTTTGCCCACTCTGTGGGTTGTCTCTTCACTCTGTTGATGGTTTTTCTGGCTCTGCTAAAATATTTTTTAATAATATGAAATTCCAGTTGTTGATTCTTTGTGATAATTCCCATGTATACAGGGTTTTATTCATAAAGTTTTTGTCTACACCAGTGTCATCAAGAGTTTTACCTATTCTATATTTCAGCAGATCTAATGTTTCTGTTCTGATATTTAGATCTTTGATCCATTTCAAATTTATTTTACTGCGTGGTGAAAGATATGGGTCCAACTTTAATCTTTGACATGTGCAAAGCCAGTTTTTCCAACATGATTTATTAAAGAGGCTGTCTTTCTTCTAGTGAATGTGTTTGGCACCTTTGTCAAAGATGACTTTTGCGGTGCCACTTGTGGGCTATAAGGAGGAGAAAGAGAAGCCAGACACTTCCTGCGGTTCAGCACCATGTATGGGCCATGGGGAAGAGTACAAGAAGCCAGTCATTTTTTGTGAGTTAGCACTATGCACAGGCCTTGTGAGGAGGAGACCCAGATTCCAGCCTCTTCTGGTGTGTAGGTTGGGAGACAAGAAGAGCCAAATCTCTTCCCCCTCCCCCCCAAGTAACTGACTGATCTAGAGAAATACAGACTGAGTTGATAGCTATTGAAGAAAGTACAATTTAATGCTTGTAGTGTTTGGTTTTTCATTGACTTTGCAGGCCTAAAGCAGGCAGTCTGATCATCTGTTTAGAGGATAACAATACTCAATATAGCATCTATAGGTCATCTCCTTCTGAAGATGGTAGCCATTTTTCATTCCCTATTATCTTGTTTAAAAGTCCTTTATCATTTTTATTGTTTTGTTTGGTTTTATTCTGATTTGTTTTGTTTGATTTTTATTGTATCCAGTGGCACGGACAGCTATTTCAAAGATAACAAGATATGGTAGCCATTTTGGATTTATTATTATCTTGCTTTGAAGTCTTGTATTACATTTTTTTATTGGTTCTATTCTGTACTGTTTTGCTTGTTATCCTTGTGTAGCAGTCATGCTAATCTTCTCTGTTTTGTTCCAATTTTAGTATATGTGCTGCCAAAGTGAGCACACTGTTCTGTTTGATTTTACTATGTCTGATGGTATGGGCAGCTATTTTGAAGACAATAAGAGGCATTTTGGTAGTCATTGTTGATTTACTATTATATTGATTTGAAATCCTGTATCACTTACACTATTTTGTTTTGATTTGCCTTTTTCCATTTTATTTTGCTTGGTTTTATCTCTTTAAAATAAAGATAACTTTTCAAAGGCAGTAGGAGTGATTCTGACTTGCTTACTTTCTTTCAAAGAACTTACTTGATTAATTCAGGCCTCTTGAAACATTATCTCTTTGATTACTCAAATCCAGCTGATTGAGAACCTTAATTACCTTTTGCCATGATGTAACACGATAATAGGAGAGACTTTCCCATTATTGAATTCTCTTGGTTAGAAGTAAGTTTCAGATCCCTCTGGCATTCAAGTGATGGAGCATTGTACCAGGGAATGAGTTGCTGGAAGTCATCCTAAAATTCTGCCTTCTGCCTTTAATAGATTTAAAAATATATATGCAAAAATATAATTTGCATATACTTCAAAGTTGAATACAAAGAAGAAAACTATAGAACTTCACTTTGAAGTCTTCACATTTAATGGAAATGGCATACATTAGAAAGACGGAGAAAATTACTTTCTATACTTATCCTTACATTTACTGTTTTGGGTGGGAGATATATCCAACTATCTAAATGTTAGATCCTAAGAACCTTAAAGGAATAATTAAATACATAGCTATGAAGGAAAGACATTTAATTATATAACTGGTTGAATTTGTGAACCATTTTACCATATTAGTGTCATTTATATTGAGAGTATAAGTGTTATGCAATAACTTCAAGTGTTTTTCTTAATTGTACATTAATTAAAATTTTCCAGCTACATGTTTTTAAAAATACCCTTGACAGACTGATTTTTATCAGAAATAACAGCTCTTTCTCAGAATAGGTAGTTCAGGCATCCCTTAACATCATTTTCTTACAGTTTTCTGTGACACATCGTAAGAAGTCCCTTCGTTCACAGCCTCCCTGCCTGGCCCTGCTCCCTCGGAGGGCACCCTCTAGCCCTTCTTCAGACAGCTGTTAGGGAGTGCACTCTGTGGAGAAGCCTGCTGCCGTAGGCCCTTTCTTTTGGAGATGATTGCAGTGGTATTTAGTGGGCAGCAGTATGGCTCGAGGCTCGCTCTGTTTGTGACATTGGCAGTGCCTGTTGTGCATGAGGCCAGCACGTAAATCCCTACAGATATGTGGTCACTTCTCTGCTTTCCCTCTCTTTCGCCTGGGCAACTGCCACGTTGATGCACTGCAGCCATTCTTCTGCGTTCTTCTCATCTTTGGCCTTGAAAACGTAGGTTTTATTGTCTGTGAAGATTTCAAAAGCTCGGGGGAGAGAGCGGTCCCTGCGTTTCTTGGCCACCACTTTCACACTCTGTACTTTGCTGAGTTCTATTGGAGACTCATCAGGATCATCTTTCTGAAATGCATGGGAAGGGAAAAACATGAGCTGGCTCCAGGTCTCTGGCCACTCAGGAATTTTCCAAGACAGCCAGATTGTTTTACCTCCTATGGCTCAAGATCTTTGGTTATTCTGGGTGCTAGGGGTCAAGAGTCATTAGAATAAAGAAAGGAGTAAAATGTGAGGCTTTGTTACAATGTGTAAATTGATACGAGTTAGTGATTTTATAAAAGTTATTATTAATGGGACTGGAAAATGCTTAATTCATAGTTTTTAAAATTTTCTACTGATATTAATACTGTATTAATACAGCAAAAAACAGTTGTACAATTTGGAGTACTACAAACTTAGAATTCCAACTAGTGTAGAAGATCAACACTGGCTTTTCTTTTGTGCTGTCTCTGAGAAAGGATTTTCCAGGCCCTTAACTGAATAAACAGGGCTCCAGTGTTAGAATAGATGAAACTTTTTTGAAATTGCTACAGTTTTGGAAGAACACTTCATCTCTATGCACACTGTGAAGGAATATGTAACAATGTTACATTTATCTCTCATAAAAACTGAAGTTTAAGGTCTTCTATAACATCAGGGTCATCACTGTAGTCTAGTATAGATAGTCCTAAGGTAATTAAATACTTTTCTAAAGTAATTCTAGGTCTTTAAAGTCCCTGAACACATTTCGTTTCCTAGAGAATGTAACCATGATTGAGAATCTTGCCAATTATTCTTTCCCACATCCCTCTGTAACAGCTACTCTTTTACTTTGCAATGAAAAGGCACCCGCTTTATTTTGTTGTTGTTGTTTGGTGCTGGGGATTGAACTTATGACTTTGCACTTGCCAGACAGGTGCTTATGGCATTGAGCTAAATCCCCAGCCCCAAAAGCACTCTTCTTACCCATCCCAGACTTCTTATGGTGCGTTGTCTGGCTCTCAAGAGCAGCAAACAAACAAACAGCAGTTTAGCACATTAATGTCAGGGAAGTATCCATCAATCAAGGCAATTTTGTTACTGTTTACCCATTTCATTAAGTTATACCATTTCCCTTTTTAATATTTCATAGTTATTTATTAAATTTGCTATTATATGAATGGATTTTTATGAATTATATAGTCATTTAAAAAGATACTGCAGTCAGAAAATTCTTGATACTTAGGGACTGATGGCCACAAGAAGATAAAACAAATTTCAATTTATATGAATGTTTTTATTACAATGAAATGTAGTTGGGCAATTTATATAATAAGGAGATTCAGGATGGGAATGTGATTTCAAGAAAAAAAATATTTCTATTAAAGAACAGCTGATTTTTAAAAACAGGAATGACAGATGAATAAAAGTGCTACAATGTTTTATTCTAATAATTACTGTTAAATGTAGGTTTCATCTTTTTATTTCTAGTATTAATATTCATGACTTAAAAGAAATTGCTGGGCTGGGATTCAGCCCAGCAGCGTAATCACCTGCCTTGCAAGCGTGTGGTCGTGAGTTCAATTCCCGGTACTGACAAAAAACCCCCCAAGAAACAAAAAAAACAGAAATTGCTGTTTGTGCAGCTGTTTAAGCTTATGATAAAGGTATTGTTGCAACTTAAAATGCTGCAAAGTGTTTCATGGATTTCTTAAAATTTTTAAGGGATATAGGATAAAATTTGAAGATATCTACACTAGACAGGACTTTATTAACCTTTGTTTTATATTAAGCATTTGACAGAAAAAAAACTGTATTTGTTGAAATTAACTTACAGTATATTAAGTGATACATGGTGGAACTTATGAAACAAAAGTTGCCGTAGAAATCTAAAGAGGAACAGTGAATCAACTAAGATAGCAACAGACAGAAAAATCAAAGGATACTGTTGTCCAGTTGGGTGGCACAGATTGAGACCTTAGGAATGCAAAAGCAAAAAATTGTACTATATCTTTCAACTGCAATTTTCACTTAAAAATGCATGCTTCTCTCGTTTAAAAGAAATTTCAGTAGGGTTGCTGACCACTAACTGATTACTGTGTCCCTGAAGGTTTGAGATATTTTTCTGTGGCCCTCAAACTATATTATTTCCCACTATCTGAGTCATATTCTGTCAGATTTCTGCCCGCTAAACTACTATTCCCTGATAAAGATTCAAGTAAGTCAGTTGATTTTAAAGTATCAGATTCTTTAAACTTTACTTAAGTGCCCTGAATTAAGAAATATACAGAGGATTATTTGAGTTCTGGAAAACATTCTTACAGACTAACTGTTCTGTGTAAAGGGATCTGATGACTCATTACATCTCCACTTTCATTCTTGATTTCTTGAATAAATACAATAAATTAAAATGGTTGATTTAAGTATTTAAAAATGCTTCTCTGTGAACTTATGTCAAAAATGTTTCTTTAGATCTTATAATAATTGTTTAAATTTGTTTAAACTTAACATTTATTACACTTCCATTTCAAAAGATCTGCCAAAGAAAGCCCGTCTCTATGGTATCATGCATTTGAAGAAAGTGACATGAGTTCAAAGTGTCACAAAAACACTATTTCGCCTAAAAAGTTAACATGAAGTTTTATTATGTAAAGCTCTGCTCAGATGTCGCTATAGTTGAGGGGCATCATACTTGTTTCCTGTTGAGTAAAACACTCAGGTAGGTTGAGACTGTTAAATCATGGCAATATGTCCATAGTAAACTGTAACTTTTAGTTAACTTAACACTTTTCATTAATTAATTGCAGCTTGCTTTATATGATGGCTATCAACTTGACTGGGCTAACAGGTGCCCAGATAGCTTTTAAAATTTTATTTCTGAATGTGTTCATGAAGGTATTTCCAAAAGAGAATGACATTTGAATCGTGGACTAAGTAAGAAGATCTACTCTTGCTGGTGTGAGTAGGGACCACCCAGTTCCCTGGGGGGTTGAGTAGAACGGAGGAAAGGCAGAGAAAAGGCAAGTTTGCTTCCCCTACTTGAGCTGATACATCTTTCCTCATAGCCTTGACATCAGATCTTCTGGTCCCTGGGCCTTTGGACTCTAGAATTTATGCTAGCATCTCTTCCACTCCTAACCCTAATTCTAGGCTTCTGGCCCGAGGGTGAAGTACACCATTGACTCCTAATTTTCAGCTACTCAGGAATTTTCTTGTGTTATATTATCAGTTTTCCTGGCTCTCCAGGTTGCTGATAGCGTATTGTGGAACTTCTCAATCTGTTACTGCATGAGTTAACTCTATAATAATCCCTCTCTCTCTCTCCCCTATTGTTCTGGTTCTTTGGTTATTGCTAATTAATATAGCTTACCACCAGCTCTATATTTCAAATGTACATGGAAGTGTACTCATTCAGGAGCATGCTGTGGAGTTACGTTGCCTGAATTTGACTCCAGATTTACCTTTCCTCACTTTATGGTGCTGTATCGTGACAAGCCAATTAAACTCTTTGAGCCCCAGATTTCTCAGGTGTAAAATGGCAGCCTACAATAATAGTGCCAGCCTCACAGGAGTGATGTGAGCTCACATCAATCCAGGGTGGCACATAATAAACACTGAATAAATGCTAGTTATTATGATTGTCTATCG